AAGTGGAGGGGAAGGGTACGTAAAAAATTAAGATGTGTTATGTACATGTACCAAATTTATATGATGAATGTAATCATTATGTACTGCAAACATGTACCAATACAAGTAAAGCAAAAAACAAGTATAAGTAGCCAATTAATATATGAAAAGATGATCAACATCTGTAGCCATCAGGGAAATGCAAATCAAAAGTACATTGAGATTCCATCTCTCATAAGAATGGCTGTTATCAAAACAGACAAAAAATAATAAATGCTGACGATGTCAGGGAGAAGGAACCTTTAGAAAGTCTTGGTGGAAAGGTAAATTAGTATAGCCACTATGAAAAACAGTTATGAGGCTTCCAAACATTAAAAATATGACTACCTGCCACAGACCAGCTGCAGTCAATGTAGGGTAGGAAGGGGAGATGTCCTGGGACGGCGATGGGAAAGAACCTCCACAAGCAATGTCCAGGTTCCCTATGAGAAGCCTCAGGGTCTACTTTATTTTTATATCTTTAAGCAATAGGTGGGAGGCATTGGGTGGAACATGTTTACATTTTAAGCTGTATTAGCAATTTCTATTGAAGTAAAGATTATTTTTTGCTAGACAAAGTACAATTCCTCTAAGCTGTTTCATTTCATTGAACATCATGAATACATACTTAAAAATTACAATTGTCCCCTTATTTACCCACACCTAAATAGAACAGAAAGTAATTTAATCAAAATCTATATCAGTGGGGGTTCAAGCGAGATTTAATCAATTAAGTGTCAAACTTGTGGTCGCCAGCTGGCCCTTGAGAAACTGCACAATGGTTAATATAGTTGCTATTAGCTCTCTATTTTTCTTTACCTCTATTCATCTTAACTAAATGTCATTTGGGTTCATAGTCCATGAGCAGGAGATATTTACAGCACTTTGAGAAATATTGAGTAACTTGTCTCCTTAATGCATTTACCTGTCTTAACTTTCTTTCTTTTTCCCATTTTCCACTATTTCTTTCATCCAAAGTCTGTCTTTCCAATCTTTTTGTAAGACCCCTTTAGTAAAAAGAATGACAGCAATAAGAGGGGGAGTCATAGTAGTGGGGGAAACAGAGGGGGTTTTAGGAGAGGTTTCTTTAGAAGTGGATGTGGCAATAGAACTAAGAGAAACTGGAATTTGGGACTTGTGAGCCAGATCAGATTTCAATATATCATTTCCAATTTGCCTCATGGAGAGTTTGTTGTTAGTCACGAACACAATGACTCCTGTGATCAGAGTAACGATTATAAACATTATGGCAAGAAAAAATAAAACATGAGGGTACGATGGGTTCCACCCTTTCTTTCCTTCAGCTGGAACTTTGTCAAGCAGCAATGGAGGTCTGTTGGGCTTTGCCAACTACCGTATGATCCAGCTTTACCATTCCTGGGTATATACGTGAAGGAAACTAAGTTGGCATACAGAAAAGCTATCTGCCTTTCCCTGTTTACTGTGGCACTATTCACAATTGTTAAGATATGGAATCAACTTGGGGGGGGGCCAGGGATTTAGCTCCTGTTCCGCCACGTGCCTTGCAAGAGCAAGGTCCCGAGTTCGATCCCCAGTCCCCCCCAAAAAAGGCAGAATCAACCTAGGTATTCATTAATACAGCTAAAGAAAATATGGTATATATACACCATGAATTATTAATCATAAAGACACGGCCAAGTATTATGTTTTTCTCCACATGTGGCAACAAATTTTTTTAAATGGATGATTTGAAAGTAGTGGACATACTGCTAGGGTAGAGACTGGGAGGAGAGCAGAGAGAAGAGAAGTAAAAGAAAGTAGGTGGTTGAGAGAGTGGAATAATCAAAGCAAGATGTAGCATATATGTAACTCATTGAAACCCATTGTAAAGTTAATATGCACTAGTTTAAAAATATGTGAAATACAGAATAAAAAGCATGGTTGAATCTCATATATCATTAAACATAGTCTCAATACATCAGTTAAAAGAGACTGGCAGAGTCCATTTAAAACCATGACTCAACTATATGCTGTGTGTAAAAAACTCAAACATAATAATATAGCTAGGGCTGAAAGGTTAAAATCCATGCAAACCCAAAAGTAAAAATTGAAGCTGCCATTTTGCAGAGGAATGACCTAAAATACAAGTACAGATTTGTATTCTAAAAACTACAGAAGGCTAATGAAATCAAAGAGCTAAACAAATAGAAGGACATGTTCATGGATTGAAACCATCAATATAGTGAAGATATTGAGCCAAGTGTGGAAGTTCATGCCTGTAATCTTGGCATTTGAGAGGTGAAGGCCAGAGGATCGTGAGTTCAGGGCCAACTTGGGCTACACAGTGAGACTCTCAAAAAGCCACAAAAACAAAAGTGAAGATACTGATTCTCTAAATTGTTATGTAGGTTTAATGCAATTCTTAGCAAAATCTCAGCAAAAACATTTTGGGAAAAGGATAATCGTTCTTTCTGATTTCCACACAATAGCTACAGTAATTAAGTCTGTGGTAATAGTGGAGAGTTGGACACATAGGTTAATGATACAGAATAGGGAACCCAGAGATAGCCCTATGCAAATACACCCAAATTTTATACATATATGTATATTTTAGACAAAGATGTAGACTCAACTTAATGGAAGAAAAATAGTCTTGTTAAAGTGGAGCTAGTAGAATTGGATATCTCATAGGGCAAAGTTAGCTTTAAATTTCCATGAAGCAGAAGCAAAAAGGAAATATTAAATAATAAGCCATTAGGGTAAGAACAAACCAAGTATCTAAAATAGGAATTTTATTTTCTGAAATTGAAGTCTAAGCTAATTTTTTCCTGAAGATTCTCAAAAAGGAAAATTCAGTGAATACAGTGTGTAACATTTCATTAATTTCTGTAAAATATGGTTTGTTTGGTTTTTTTGGTATCAGGGATCGAACTCTGGTCCTTGCACTTGCGCAGCAGGTGGCAAAACCATTGAGCTAAATCCCCAGCCCTCCCTAAAATATGTTTTAAAATGAGTTCAGTGAGGTTTGTTTTTCATAGCATGTCTTGGAGCTTAGGTATATATAGAGTGCCAAAAAAATTTACACACACTTCAGGAAAATATTTTAATAATTTATTGAGAAATCATGAGATTAATGCAAGTTACCTTTGGTCTCTACAATTACAAGAGGTATTCAAAATATTGGCTCAGAATAGGTGCTCAAAATAGGTGCTCAAAATGACTTCCAGACATTTATTAGTACAGCGAACTATTGCTTGGGTAACCTTGGTCCATTGCATGTCCATTGCTGCACATGCATTTTTCAATTTCTTCTCCAAGGGCCGGCAGTGTAGCGGGTTTTCTGTGATATCTGACATCCTCTAGGGGCCTCACGTGAAGTTACAACTATCTGTTGAAGAAGCATCATACCATTTTTCTTTTCCTGAAGTGTGTATACATTTGTGTGTGTGTGTGTGTGTGTGTGTGTGTGTGTGTGTGTGTGTGTGGACTCTATATCGGGGATGGTGGCAAGTCAGACTGGATAGGTGAGTAGATCTGGGATCACAAATGGCATTTTTTAGCATTTTTAAAGAATATAAAAGACTCAGTTAAGGAAACAGTACATTTCTAGTTTCTCTTTTTGTTTTAAAAAGTTTCTTCAATTTTTTTCTTGTTTCTTCTTTTTAATAATTCACACTTTAAATCTCTTTTAAGTTAATGTGCCTTATAAAAAATGCTAAAACAAGTGTTGAATTAAAACAATGGCTGGGCATGGTGGAACATGCCTGTAATCCCAGCACTCTGGAAGCTGAGGCAAGAGGATCACTGCAAGTTTGAGTCCAGCCTGAACTACATAAAAATAAATAAATAAATAAATTAGTTAATTAAAAAATGAATTTTGCTTCTTGATGTGTATTTATTTAATATAATATATAGCATTGTAGCATACTTAAGAATGTTTCATGACACAGGATATTTTTTAGTGACAAATCATAGTTTATTTTTTAAAGTAAATTTTGTTGATTTTGATGTTTTGGAAGACTGTTGCTACAGTTAGTTGTTCAAGAAAGGCAAAGTTAGGGCAAGACTAATGTTAGAACTCACAGATTGAACATTTAGGTATTTCAGATGTTTTTTAAAGACTTAGACTTTTTTCTGGTTTTTTTTGGTTTCTTCTATAGGATACCAACGCAAGGTACTCAATAAATAATTGATAAATACACAAGGGGCAGGTACTATGGAAAAGTACTTGTGCTAGGAATATCTCAGAGATATTTTTGTGATTACACTTAACATACTGTATTTCCTTAAGTAAGCAAAAATTCTCTAAGGGCAGTTACTTAATCTGTTTGTATTTTTGGAAAATAATATAATTTCTGAAATAATTGGTAAATGGTTATACTGTGCTGTTTTTATTGTATTTTTTTAAAGACATTAAAGGTAGAAAAAGCCATTTTCGTTGTCTATTGATTGGTACTAGGCTGGAAAGAAAGGCTGTGGTCCTCCACATTAGGCAGCACATACTTGGTTGATTTGGTATTTAGCTTAGTCAAATAAGTTATTATGTTCAAAAGGACCTTTCTAAAGAGTCAACATTTAATTCTAAAGAACTCTTAATAATTAATTTTAAGAATATGGTTTATTGCAGATATGAATATTTGGGTACTTTTTGAATAGTTTGGTTAAAAATTAATAGTGCTCAAATTCATTTAAAATAAACTGGAAATTTTCATGAAAGATACAGATGTAAAATTTACCACTCAGGTTCAGTGGTACAGTGCTTGTGTAGCATGCACAAGGCCCTGCTTTAGATCCCCAGAACCACAATTAATGAACAAGTAACATTAAAAAATTTTTAATATATTTCTTGAATAATACATTTGCATGGTATAAAATTCAGAAGGCACAAAATGTTACACAGTTAGGTCTCTTTGCCAGGGAAACAAATGTTCCCTTTCTGATTCCAACTGCCTAAGCTGTTCTCCTCAGAAGGAAGCTAAGGAGATCTTTTAATGTGATTCTTTTCTTTCTAATTGTAACAGATTGAAGATCTCAAACAGACAAATCATGGCTTGGAAGAATATATTAGGAAACTCTTGGATAGTAAGGAAGTGGTAAGCAGTCAAGTAGATGATTTAACCAGCCACAATGAGCATCTTTGTAAAGAATTAATTAAAATTGACCAACTAGCAGAGCAACTAGAAGAAGAGAAAAATTTTGTGGTGGATACCGCTGACAAGGAACTTGGAGAAGCAAAGGTACTGCTAGATTTACCACTGATCAAGATTTTAATTCTACTTTAAACATGTAATTATTAAACACAATGGAAAAAGTGGCATTCTCATGGCATTAGGAAATTCTTTTAGATTTGTAATTATATTGAAGGGTCTATTCTAATGATTAAATTATACTGTTTCTTACTTTTTTTTTTTTTTTTTTGGTACTGGGGATTGAACCTTGCGCTGCGAGGCAGGCGCCAGAACCACTGAGCTAAATCCTCGGCCAATGTTTCTTACATTTTTTTAAAAAAAGTTTTTGCTCAAAAAGTTCTCTTTATCCAAGTGCTAACCAGGCCCAACCCTGTTTAGCTTCCAAGATCAGATGAGATTGGGCATGTTCAGGGTAGTATAACCAGAGACCAGTGGTGGCAAACCTATGGCATGCATGCTGCAGCCAGCTATTTGTTATTACTAAAAGCTCTAAAATGCTTGCTTGCCATTACTGCCAAAAATGTTTTCTAAACAGTATGTAGTCATTGCATAAGCTTCAAAGCAACAGAAATGTTCTGTACATACGATGTTGCTTCCGTCCCTAGTTCTTCTCTCTGCAGAGAATAATACATTTATTCTCATCTCTCTATTTTCATACACATGGTTTATGTCATATTTCATACTTTTAATTTAGATTTTTACCCAAATTTAAATTTCTATGTAGTTAAATGTGCTAATTCTTTATTGACTTATGAGTTTGGTTCTTTCTTCAGCAGGCCTTATCACTACAAGAATTAGAAAAATATTTTCTGTAGTTTTCTTTTAATAGTCTTAATTTTTAATACTTCTGGAATTTATTTTTCTTCTGGTAGGAAGTAAGGTTGACTAGCCCTTTCTTTCCCCACCAATTTGAAGTACTATTTTATCGATACAAAGTTCTTCTATCTCTGTGAATATGTTTCTGAATTTTGTTTCATTGATTCATTTGTCTTTTACTCTGCCATTGCCATATTATTTTACTTATTATAGTTTTAATATATTTTAATAAACATTTTATTTTTTGATTGGATTTTAATGCTCTGTCATCAAATTTAGAAACTAGGGATTTAAACACAATTGTAAAATGAAGACAGTTTCATTTATCATTGCTACCTAATGACTTACAAGCAGGATACAGCCTATACTGAATGTTTAAATGATAATGATTTTATTGATCACCAAATTAATAAATTGTGTCTGCAATAAGGTAATTTTCAGAGCAAATGATTATTGCATGTTATTTCATAAATATTCTTTAATGTGCTGTCATGTACTTATAATAAAGCACTTAGTTCAGTAAATTATCAGAGAACACTTAGTGAGATGATATTATTATTATTATTATTATTATATATATTTTTAGTACCAAGAATCAAACTCAGGGCCTTGTGTTTGCCAGGCAGGTGCTGTGCCGCTGAGCCACACCCCGACCTGTGATATTATTTGTTAAAGTAAATTGAAATGTAAGAGTTCAGTTAATGAACTCTAGGATCATATAGGTTTTTATGCAGTAACCTCTTTTATTTATACTATGTAAGGGATAAGTCAGTCTAAATTAGTGGAAAGTCAAATACTAAATGGAATAAATACATGAAGTATATTATAGGCACACTCATCTCTAGCAGTGTTGCCCTAAGAGGTACTTAGGAGAACTACTTAGAGAGAGTATGTAATAATGGCTTGTTTCAAACTTCTAATTGTTACTACTAAAATATTTGAAGGACACTTAAAAATAGTTTGAGTATTTTAAACATTTCTCAATAAACTTTTTAGTTTGCATTGCTACTTTCTTTAAGGATAATTACTCTTGCCAGGGATTTAGCTCAGTGGTTCCGGCACCTGCCTGGCAAGCACAAAGTCCCAAGTTCGATCCCTGGTACCAAAAAAAAAAAAAAGATTACTCTTGATTCATAGTTTAATGGTAAATGGAGTCAGGCTTTAATATTAATTACAAAAATCATCAAAGTTAAGAGTTTATGTCTTCCTCATTTTCTTCAAATTATAAATAACTATACTCTTTCTAAGACTGAAGGAATTGTAGTTGGCTGAATTCCATCAACAGCAGTGCCCTTTTTAGATGTCATCCATCCTAAAGGATTGCTTAGTGTTTATATTCTAGAGAGAGGAAGAGTACTGTGGCAAGGTGAATTCTCTGCTATTAAAAAGGAGCATTTCAGGAATGGAAAACATCTAAAATACACAAGCTAGGATTTACTTAAAATATTAAAATTTACAGATGAAATTTTCCCTGGCTCAGAAGAGTATTTCTAGGAGCATGAAATGTTGGGTATATTTCAGAAGTGGAAAGCTATTCAAGCTTTTGAGAAAGAGGTGGGCTGTAGTCTTGGAAAAAGCACGGCTGGTGCAGGGAAAACATGGAAAACTTAATAGAGGACAAGCTAGAATGAATTTCAAGGGAAAAGGGAATTAGAAATATGTACAACCAACATATGTACAGGCAGTATGAACACTAATGTGTCATCATCTCTTAAGTCATTGGGTCTGTATTGTAGGTTTATAATCTAAACATTATAAAATAAATTATAAGATTTTCTTTGCCTAACTTTGGGGATGGAGATTGAAATCAGAATTTCTAATAGGATTGCTAAGAGAGAATGTTAGGTTCCTATAGTGCTTGAGATTAATGTTCTGTATATGTGAAGTAGGCCAAAGCTGCGGTGTAGTTTGCCTGGAACTGATATAAATAGTTATGTTATTCAGCTGTCTTGTTGACATACAATATCTGACACCCACAACTTAAAGGAAGAGAGATTTAATTTGGCTTATGGTTTTGGGGAATTTAGACTCTGGTCATCCACTCCAAGGCAGGAATATCATGATGAAAGGGACAGCAGAACAAAGCTGCTTAGTTCATGGTGGCCCAGAAGCAGAGCAGGGGAGCAGTGCCAGAGAGGGAGGGGTGGGTAACCAGACATAGACCCTCAAGGCCACACCTCCATGACCTGCTCAGGCACCACCTGTCCCATGGTGGATCCCACAGGCAATCATAGTGATACTCCACCCTAATGGCTAAAATAGTGTTAAATTTATTTACTGTGGAGAGTTCACTTTTAGTCATATTTCTAAATCAACATAGTAACTTCTTTCATTAAAATGTTTTCAGTATTATTTATTGCTATGTAAGAAATTACTCCTAAACTTTAATGGCTTCAAACAACAAATCTCAGTTTTGATAGGTTGGGAATTCAAGAAGGGCTGAGCTGGGTGGTGATTCTGGTTCCGTTTATCAGAAAATGATGACTAGGAGGACAGGCAGCAACAGTCATGGCTTGACTGTACTGGCGCTGGCTCATTGTGTGGCTGCTGACTCTTGGCAGGAGGCCTCCATTCCCTGCTAAGTAGACTTCTTTCTAGGGTTGCTTGAAGGATTCTGTGTGCCTACCCCTCCCCCAGTCAGTGATTAAGAGACACAGCAAAGAGAAATCTGCAGGGTCTCTTGTGACCAGGTTTAAAAGTTAAATACGATCACTTTTACCATTATCTCTTCATTAAAAGTGAGTCATTAAATATAAGCCCCATCCCTCAAGGGGAGGAAAATAGGGAATTTTCTTTGAAAGAAGGAATATCACAATTTTACATATGCCTTAAAACTACCACAGCTATCTGCCTCCCTTTATCTTCTCATTGTAAGTTGTATATCATTCATGTCTTAATAAACCATATCTCAGTTAACTAAACATAATTTTTGAAAAAAAAAGTTTTTTTGAGACAGAAGCTTGCCGTTTTGCCCAGGCTGGCCTTAAACCAACAAGCTTCCTGCCTCAGCCTCCTGAGTACTTGGTATTGTAGGTATGCACCACTATGCCCTTCTTGATTTTTTGAAGTGTGAGGAAGCAGAATTCCAATTTTACCATTATTAGTTTCTTCATAAAGTTTATATTTTTAATTGATATAGGGGTCATTATTGGAATGGATCACTGATATCCCTATCATTATCATTACTTTCCTATATGATTCACTTAATCAAAAATTGTATCAGAGCCTACCATGTGGAAAACATGGTGTCAGTCCTGTTGAAGTTTGTAAACCACCTCCCCATAGACTCTCCTTCCCACTCCTGAGCTCCTTCCCCTTTCTTCACTCTGCTCTAGCCACCGTGGCCTCCTTACTGTCCCTTGGAATTTATCAGACGTTCTTTTGCTTTAGCATCTTTGCTGTAGCTGTGACTTTTGCTTGGAATATTCTCCGGTATTTTCATATAATTGATTCCCACCCTCCTTTAAATCTTTACTCAAACCCAGGGATTTAGCTCAGTGGTGCCACACCTGCCTGGCAAGCACAAGGTCCTAAGTTTGATCTCTATATTCAATGGTCACCTTTCAGTCAGTACTTCTAGATCGTCCTATTTCATGTTCCAACCAGTTTCTCCATAAACATTCCCAATATCATTAGCTCTGCTGTTACCTTGCTAATATACTATATGATTTATTTTGTTTATTTTTAAGTTGTCTATTCCACTTGGAATGTTAAGTCCTCAAAGGCAAGAATCTTCACCTATTTTGTTTACATTTTTATCTTAAATACCTAGAACAGATACGTAAGTGCCCATTGTACATTTTTTTAGTGACATGATCACTATCTGACATCTATGTTTCTATTATCTTTTGTTTTTTCTCTTTTGACTAAAATATAAACTCCAGGAGGGCAGAGGTTTTTATTTTATTCTTTGCTTTACCCAGCACATATTGCAATGACAGATAGATAATAGGCATTTATTAAATAACTGACAAATAAGTGAAAACATTAGGTTGACTTTTTTTTTTCACTTGGGCCAGTTATAATTTTGTTTTTCAGATTGGAATCAGCAATATTTTTTTTCCAGTACTGGGGATTAAACCCAGAGCCTGCACACTGAGCTACATCTCCATCCTATTTATTTTGATACAGAGTCTTGCTAAGTTACGCAGGCTGGGCTTAAAGTTATGACCCTCCTTCCTCATCCTCCCAAGTAGCTGGGATAACGGATGTGCACCACCCCACCCAGCACTTTGTATCATTATAAAAGTATGGGCTGTGGATGTAGCTCATTCGTAGAGTGCTTGCCTAGATGTGGCTTAGTGGTAGAGTGTGTGCAGCCCTGGGTTTGATCTCAAGCATCATGCACACACAGAGCAGTAATACATGTTTATTATAAAAATTTCAGTCCATGAAGTATATTGAAAAAATAACATCCACCATGATTACACCTTGCTATACCCAGTCGTAATCTTTTTCTATTTACATATTACTGGTTATATTTTATCCATATCTAGAATGTATGTGTATTGACTTATTTTTATTGTATGTGCTACTAAAGCAAGCACTAACAGTTTTTTGAGAAAGTATCCTAGTAGATACTTAATTTTGCCAAGATTTTATACTTAATTTAGTATGGACATCTTTATAAGTTGTATATACTAGAACCATTTCTTTTTAGTGTCTTTACAGTAGAATAAATTAAAACATTGAAAATTATTTATTTAAAACTATACATAAGCTTTTCCAAACTTCAACTTACATTCAAAATGATAGGATCCATTAATATTTAATAGACTTAATTATGACTGCTAGAGGAATCTTAGGAAAGAACTTTGATTTAAAGAATAAATGAAGACAAAATAATTCAAGAAAATGCAAAATTAAAATATAGCAGACATAAATTAAAGTATAATTTTAATTAATATAATAATATATTAAAAATATAATATTAAAACATAGCAGGGCACATTTTAATTAAGAATAATGAAGGAAAAGTTGATGAATAAAAACATCTTTCATTAAATTAATTGCTAATTCTTTTTTTTCATACCGGGGATTGAATTTGGGACCTTGCACTTGCGAGTCAGGTGGCCGAACCCCTGAGCTAAATCCCCGGCCCCTAATTTCTAACTTTTAACAGAGAGCTTTAGTGCCTCACATAAAAATTCACTGTCCTTTAGGAACATACAATATAGATTTATAAGGTGATGTATAAGACTGAGGATGTTCAGTGTTACGAAACTGATACTATAAATTATATAACAGTGTTTTGTAGATTGGGTTGGACTAAGCTATTTAAATGGTTCAGAGGAGGAAGCAATCTATTCTAAATGGGTTAATTTTGGCAAACTTCTTTTATTCCAGTCATTCTCTTACAGACTCCATATTAACATTTTCAGAATAATAATTAATATTGATATTTTGTTCTACTTCATGGGGTTGTGATTTGGTAAAATGTAATTCATTAATATCTTGCACAGAACATTGTGTAATTTACTGGAACTGCTGTATTTCATCATAGGTTCTTTTACCATGAAAGGTAGGTAAACATAAGTGGTAGGTTATATTTTTCTTAAAATTTTGCTGTCTTCATGTTTTTATTTTAAAATGTCTTCCTTTTTGTTGTTCTTTACAATTAAATCAGTTTAAGCATCTGTAATAAAAGAAATTGTTTCTCATTTTTCAGATTGAACTTATATACCAACAAAATAATATAACAGTATTGGAAAGTAAAATAAAAAGACTTAGATCTGTAAGTATATTTTTCATAGATCTATGTTAAGGAGTCATTGTTATTTAGTAAGCTGTGAATATAATTATATATATATTTGTGTGTGTATGTGTGTGTGCGTGTGTTTGTGTGTGTATATGCACACACTTTTTTCCCTAGGGAGAGAGAACAACTTTTGGTTGGTTTGATTAATGTCTTTAGCAGTTCTTTGATTAAAAATGATGGCTCTGAAATTTTTAATTTTCAAAATATAAGGTGCATTTGTCGGCACATTAAATTTCATTGTCCTTAGTAATACATATTTTTAATCATAAGTTTTGTTACTTCTGTTACGTTTTATTTATGAAATGAAAACTCCTCTGTTTAAATATTTTAATGTTAGTATATTTAAAATACTCTGAAAATGTTTGTAATTTTCTTCCAATAAAGTATTGATAAATGTAAAAAAACGTTTAAAAATTGTAAAATAAGTGTTTCTAAATATATTAAAGCGAACGCGAGTCCATGGAAATACACTTGAAGGTATGGAATATCCAGCATCCATTTAATTTATTAATTCCTTGAACAATTATTGAACAAAACTCAGACACTATGACAGATGTTTTAATGGTAGCATGTAAGTTTTTCTAAATCAAGTTAATTCCTTTTATGAGATTTGTGTTGGGTCTGGGCACATTTACAGCATCTGACAATTTTTTAAAACCGCTTTTTCTTCAAAATTATTGAGTAAATTTAGGGGTTCTTTTATTCAAGAAAAAAATAAAGTACATCCAGAAATGATAAAAAAAAATGAAAGGATCTAATTGCTTTTAAAAAACTATTCACAAATAAGTTTTAAATATTGCTTTTAAAATACCAAATTTATTTTTTTAAATTTTATTTTATTGGTACATTTTAGGTATGCAGTATAATGACATTCATTGTTGGAAATTTGCACCTTTACATAATCTCTCTTGGTTCTTATTTTATCCCCATTCCCCTGCCTTCCCTGCAACCCCTCCATCCCTCCCTATTTACAAAGACTTTGTTTCCATTTTTCCATTTTCTCATATTAATTCCATTCCCTTCTTTCCTTTCCCCAGCCCCTCCCACTTCCCCTTCCCCTTTGCCCCGTTTTTTCCTATTCCTATTTCACATTATCTGTTATACCTTTTAGTCCTTATTTACCCTTTCAGTTTCTCACACTAGAGAAACTATTTGGTATTTACACATGTGTGTCCTATTTATTTCACTTAAAAAGAGTGTGGCCTCAGTGTGCATCCATTTAGCTATAAATGTCTCTAGTTTCTTGTTCTTTATGGCTGAGTAACACTCCATTTTATAAAAAAAAAAAAACAAAAAAACACATTTTCTTTATCCAGTCTCCAGTTGATGGTCATTTGGGCTGTTTCCAAGTCAAATTTAATATTTTTAAGGATCTTGTTTGTTTTTTTAGAAAAGGATGTCACAATTTAGCTTGAGATAATGGCCTAATTTTTTTTTCCCTTGGCAAGATAATTTTAGAGACTGAAAAAGCACAAAATCAATCTCCTTCTAGACTTGATTCTTTTGTCAAGAGTTTAGAAGCAGACAGAGATTACTACAAAGGTGAAGCTCAACATTTGAGAAAAATGCTCAGAAATAGATCTAAAAGCCCAAGACGCCCATCTCCATCTTCCAGGGTAAGTTTGAAAACTTGTAAATATTTTGGAGTTTGTTGGTCAAACGCTGACTTTTATACTTTGACTTACCTAATCTGGAAATAATTCATTTTGATTGGTTGGCATGAGTTGCTGTATCAAAGAGGTTGGGGGACAGAGGTCCCTTTGATGGCACAGTGGATAAGAATATTGCTTCTTTAAATGTAGTATAAATGCACAGTGGAGTACTGTATTATACAGCTATAAAGAAGAGAAAAATTATGTCATTTTCAGGTAAATGGATGGAACTGCAAATCATCATATTAATTGAAATAAGCCAGACTCAAAAAGAAAAGTATTGCATGTTCTCCCTAATATGTAGAATCTAAAAAGATGACATGCAAGTAGGAAGAGCCTATTAGTAGACAAGAAGAAGGGAGTAAGGGAGAGGAGGGAGGTGCAGGGGGATGAGAAAATTATTAATTATATCATTAAGAGATCAGATGCTGACGAATTTATTGTAGGTTTCTACTACACTTCACGAAGTGGAACAGCAAGTTACAAAACAGTATATGTGGCATTGCCAAGTTTTTATTTTCAAAATTGCATTTGTATAGGGCCAGGGATATAGCTCAGTGGTGCTGCTGCCTACCTTGCAAACGCAAGGTCCTGAGTTCAATCCCCGGTACCAAAAAAAAAATATTTATATAGAGAGATATCAAGAAATCATCCAGAATTATGTTCACTTATCCATTTTAACTGCTTCTGGGAGTGAGATGCTGATCATGTTTTTCTTTTTGTTTGAGTGGTTTTTGACTTGCGCTACTATAAAATATTTCTAAGTGGAGGAAATTAATATTTCTATGAGTATATGAGGTGATGAGTACATTAGTGCCCTAGTCAACTTTCTTTTTCATGGAGACACCATACCTGATACCTACAATTCAAAGGAGGAAAGGTTTATTTTGACTTACATTTCAGTCCATGGTTGGTTGGCTCCAAGGCAGAACAGCTTGGCTCAGGGGCATAGTGGAGGAGAGCTGCCCACCACATGCATCCAGGAAGCAGAGAGAGTGAAGAGAGAGGCCTAGGAAGTGAGATTAAACCCTTGCTGGTCATACCCCAGTGACCGCCTCTTCTGACCAGGCCCCTTCTCCTGACGGCACAGCAGTTATGTATAAGCCCCCATAATCCATTCACCTTCCAAAGGTCCTGCCTATGATCCCGTGAGGCTTTAGGGAACACCTAGATCTTAACTGTTAAAAGTTAGTAGTAATCACTTCACAATGTATATGTATCTCGAAATACCATGTTGTACACTTAAATATGTATAATTTCATCTGTCAATTATACTAAAAAAGAGGGAGACATGCTCCTTAAAAAAAGGAATAGTAGCTCTTTATTCATAGTATGAGAAGTGTTTAGGCAATAATCAGACAATTTGGAGCAATTTGGGGTAAAGCTGTTGTAAAAAAAAAGATGATTTTCTTATTTATTCTTCATGATTTCTCTTTATTATATAGTCATATTTAAGTAGAGATCATATACTGCCACCAGTATCAGCTTTTTAAAATACCATAGGTTGAAAAGAAAAATTTCAGATTTCTAATATAATAATTATAGGGTGCAAACTGTGATGTAGAGCTTTTGAAGTCAACAACAAGAGATCGTGAAGAACTCAAATGCATGCTGGAAAAATATGAGCGTCATTTGGCAGAAATTCAGGGTAATGTCAAAGTTCTTACATCTGAGAGAGACAAGACCTTCCTTCTTTATGAACAGGTAAATTGTTTATTCTTATAAATAAACAAGTAATGACATTACTTCTATATGTATATATTCTTAGCTTATAGATCTATAAAATAAGGAGGCAGGCTCCCTTTGTTCTGTGAGCTTATGTAGTTTGTTGACATCTCAATTTTGATGGTAGAGGCTGTTTAGTTAACCTGATCAGAAACTTACACTTTGTTTTATAAGCAGTAGAAAGTTTTATTATTTTTTTAAAGCAGGAGAAATATGGCCAAAGTAGCATTTTTTACAGTTTTAACCCGGTGGCAACTTTTTATTATCTCTCACGTAATCTTCTTTATCATTCTTGCACAACAATTACTCCTTCAGGAGAATTAGAGGAGGGAGAGACCATGGGCTCCTTGGAAGGCTGCCCTGGTAGTCCGTGCATGAGGCTTTGGGGGACTTAAGTGAGGGTTCTAACTGTGGAAACAAACACAGGGACACACACAAGGAATGCAGGGAGACTTGAGATTCACTTTAGGAAGGAGGAACATTGAATTATCTGAAAGTCTGTCTTGAATGACTAAGAGAACTGTAGTAAGAGGAGAAATAAACTCATTGGTGTTTGGGTGAAAAATTGTGACTCTGGGGTTAAACAGATGGAGTAAGATGATGGTAATACTTTCAGGTAATAATTGCCAGCAGGCAGTAAGAAGTATGGTGTTGGACTGAGGAAACAGACAGGAGCTGAATATGTAGTTTTAGAAGTCATGGCTTAGAGGTGAGTTTTTGTTTTTTGGGATTTTTTTTTTCCTTTGGTACCTGGGATTGAACTCAGGACCTTGTGCTTGTGAGGCAGGCAGTGACATCACTGAGCTAAATCCCTGGCCTAGAGATGAATTTTGAGTCTGCAGAGGGAATGAAATTCTCAATGAGAATTCTCTGCCTAAAGGAGCAGAGAGGCCAAAATGTAATGTTCAAGAAGCAGAGAGGATACTTTTAATTCATTTGGGAAGATACCCAGCAGGGGAGTAGCTGGATCAAGGGGGACCTCTAATCCTAGTTCTTTGAGGTATCTTCATACTGATTTCCACAGTGGTTGGACCAGTCTACACTCCCTCCAACAGTGGAGTAGGGTTCCCTTTTCCCCACAGCCCCGCCAGCATTTGTTATTGGTTGATTTCTTTTTTTTTGTATATCCTTTTATTGGTACATTTTAGGTGTACAGTATAATGACATTCATCATTGGAAATATGCACCTTTACATACTCTCTTGTTTCTTATTTTTTCTCCCTTCCCTTGCCCTGCCTTCAATTATAAAGATTTTATTTCAATTTTTTCCTTTTCTCATATTAATTCCATTCCCTTCTTTCCTTTCCCCTACCCCTCCCACTTCCCATTCCCCTTTTCCCCTTTTCTTCCTATTTCAC